GGGGGGGGGGGGGGGGGGGGGGGGGGATCCAGCAGGTGTCACTTATTGCAGTGCAATGACTCTAAATGTGGACCCTTTTTGACCCCTCCCTCTTAATCTAGCTGGAGATTCTACTACATAGACAACTTGATGGCATTCAGAGCTGGAAAAGTACCAATGTTTATATGGGCTAGCTTGGAGAAGAATGGCATATAGCAGGGGTCTTCAGACTTGGCCCTTTTATGACTTGTGGACTTCAACTCCCAGAATTCTGGGAGTTGAAGTCAGTTCTGGGAGTTGAAGTCCACAAGTCATAAAAGGGCCAAATTTGAAGACCCCTGGCATATAAGATGGAAGAAAAAGAAACAGAAACCACAATTTTGTGTAAGCTGGTCGGCCCACTAAAATATTGGAAATGGACAGGAGAACAAAAACAATGGAAATCTTCCAAGGCTAGGAGGATGATTCAAGAAGCATTTCCTGAAGAATGAAGAAAAAACACAAGGCAGGAAATGGCTGCTTTGTGGTCAGGGACTTGGTTCTTCCTGCCCCCAGTACCAGAGGGATTCCCCCCCCCCATAATAACAGATGGAAATCAAATCCACAGAAGTGTCTATGTACACAAGTTGTGCCTATAAATTAGCAGCTGTATTGCATATTTGTGAATTACAGTGGTTCTACTTTCTTTGCAAAAATTGCTTTGTCTAGGTCTTTAACATCCAATAAATGTTTCATAACGTAATTCTCTGTCAATGATTAATAAAGTATTGTGGTTTAGCATTTTCTGGTGATGAGTGAACCAGTAGCAAATTCAAGAGAAATAGAAACGAATTTCCACAGAAATTGTTTGTTTTCCGTGCCTCTTTTCGCTGCTGTCTAGTGGACCATAAAATTGTTTTAATGTAACACTGCTCAAGAATCACGATTTTCTTTTCGTAAGTTTATTTAGAGCTACTTTGTTTTAAACTTTACACATTTTTCAAACATGCACTGATTAACAAAGATGAACATTATATTAAAAATGTAATACTGATATGTATTAACAAGAAAGTAAGCAAACCAGAAACTACACAAAAGCAAAACGCTAGCATCATTTGGAAGCTTATATAAACACAGAATTCTTGACAGCTGGCAATAGCTGTTTAAGCTTGGCTGGGCTTGGAAGCTAGGCAGGGTTAGGTGAAAGGGATTCTACCAGGGCTATAAAGATGAGGTTTAGTTGTACTAGCAAAATGAGCTGATACCATTATCAGGGAATGATGCATTTGGTACAAGTACAGCCAAGTGGTAAACCTGGCTTATAGCTTTATTATATACTAGCTGTACCAGGCCACGCGTTGCTGTGGCTCAGTCTGGTTAGCGTGTGTTGCTTTTACGTCCAACAGATGGCGCTGTTTTTCAAAAACATGTTTTTACCTGACACAGGTGTGACATCTATATAATAGCAGGTATATAAAAACACGCGCGTATTCGAATGCAATGTTGTGTCAAAATTTCAAAGCAATCGGTGAAGAACTTTCGGAGATTTAAGATTTTGAACAAACGAATATTTACATTTTTATTTATATAGAGAAGTTCATTATTAGTGAACCCTGATGGCCCAGTAGTTAGCATGCAGTATTGCAGGCAAATTCTGGAGTTTAATCCTGACAGAGCTCAAGGCTGACTCAGCCTTCCATCCTTCAGAGATTGGTAAAAAGAGCACCCAGATTGTTGAGGGCAATAATGCTGACTATAGACCTCTTTTAGAGTGTGCTGTAAAGCACTATGGAGTGCTATATAACTCTAAGTGCCATTGCTAAGTGCTAATTCTATTATCTTACAAAAAGCTATTTTCATTAAATAAACATTGGAAGTGACTGAAGAAATACGGAATCCTTGGTACTCTCTGAGCTTGGTAGTTTTCTTACTGATGTTTCATTGCCCAATTAGGTCACATCCCCAGTGCAGTGAAGATTTTGAACACTGAAGATATTACCTAAGGTCTGATAACTTAGAATCATAGAATAACAGCGTTGGGGGACCTTGGAGGTCTTCTAGTTCAGCTCCCTGCTCAAGCAGGAGACCCTACCATTTCAGACAAATGGCTGTCCAGTCTCTTTGAAAGCCTACAGTGATGGAGCACCCACAACTTCTGAAAGCAAGCTATTCCATTGGTTGGTTGGTTGGTTGGTCATATGGAAGTGTGAGAGTTGGGTGGATTCAGTGAAACATAAATGTATGTTGAATGCAGTAGGAAGAGGTTTCTTAAGAAGTGTGGGTGGTAAGGCAAGACTTGATTTAAAATATCTGGGGGCTTCAATGAATGTGGACTGAATACAACAGTGTGTGATGAAGATGAAAAGTACCACAGAGATAATGAAGCTGCCAAACAAGTACAGTACATGAAGGAGAAATGTAAATGAATCAAGAGAAGGCAGAGAAAGTAAGGGATGGGTGGAGTTGATGAGATCCTCAGAAAGAGGTGAGTTTAAATAACAAAAGGCAAAGTAGGAAGTAGGTACTTCTGTGATGGAAGTAAGATGGTAAGAAGGACAAAAAGATACACAGGGATGTAGAGATTGGTGTTGATTTGATGCAAATTTAAGCCATTTCCTTTCTCTTAATTCATGTTTTTAATTTTTTTTTACTGTGCTTTATCCCCTTGCCCAGCTTTCCATAAATTTGCTTATTTCAAGAGGGAATAATGTGATGGATGTGTATGAAGCCTAACAAATCTGGACTATGAACATCTGAACTTGATGGACTTTGGGCCACCTAATACTTCTGGTAGCCCTGTATTAAGTATCTTCCTTAGTGCCTAATGATTAAATGGGTATTTCCCAACACATTTTTTGAATATTGGCAAAGCTGCACCCTATTAATTTGCAGCAAAATGCAGCAAAAAAAAAACCCCACCTAGTGCTTTATACACTTTGTCGTATGTGTGTTTGTTTAACTAGGCACAAGTAACTTAAATAAACATCTGGTTTGCACAGGTCTCTAAGAAACAAACTAGTAAGGGCAACTTTAGGTTATCAATTCAAAGGAAATTATCTAAGTGCACCTTCTTGGCCAACCACTGATAACGAGTTCATGACTTGGACCTGGTTTTTGCTGGAGATCAAAGTTTGCAAGCATGATGGCTTCTTACCAACTCTGTCAGTGACTTCCTCAACAAGCTGAACTGGGTCAGTGGAAAGGGGTAACTTAACATGTTGTGTGAGAAAAATAAAAAGGGATTGGTTGACCCAAGCAATTAACCACCAAGATTGTGCAGAGGATGATTAATGTTGTAAACCAAGCTGTTCCCCTGACCTAGTCCACCAAGACAAAGAGCTGGAGATGTAGAGCAGTTGGAAAAGGAAACTTCTCCCTTACGGAACTTACCAACAAGTCCTGGTAGTATACAACAGGGGTCTCCAACCTCGGCAACTTTAGGACTTGTGGACGTCAACTCCCAGAATACCTCAGCAAGTGC